TTCCCCGCGGCCGCCTCCGCTTCCCGCTGCCGCCTCCGGAGCCCGCGCCGGGCCGGGCTCCCCTGCAGGGCGCGCGGCCGCAGAGCACTCACCAGCTCCACTTGGGGCCCCAGTCCTTCCAGGATCCGGTGGGCGGCCTCGGCTTTCTTCTGCAGAGAGGAAAGGGAAAAGGGGAGGAGGCAGAGGGAGAAGAGGAGGGAGAAGAAAAGTTATTTCTGCCGCTGATTAGAGGCTCCGCTCCCTCCGTAGCCCAAAAAAAAGCCCCTTTCTGAACACCCGTGGCGCTGCTGCAAACCCCATCCCCACCTGCAGGCAGGAGAGGTTACAGCCGAGCGGGAAGGTGGCGCCGCGGGCGCTCGGATCGGGGCTGGATGTGCCGGGGGCTCGGGGCCGCGCGGAGCCGGGCGGCCCGACACCCTTTCCAGGCTCCGGTGTCCCCGGAACGCGTGACGGCTCCACATGAGCTGCTCACCCTGCTCTCACTGAGCCACCTTGTGCTTCGTACAAATGCAAAATGCAAAAAAAATAGAAGCTAAAGCCAGCCCGGGAACACGTGTCATGGTGTGTGCGGTGGTTGTGAACTCAAGAGGCCCCAAAAAAAAGAGAGAGCGCAGGGCTGGCTGCAGCAGGAGCCTAAACAAGAGGTGACGTGTTGGGGAAACAACCCTTCTGTGCAGCCCTGCGTGTTACAAACAGCCAGATGAATCCCCAGGACCAGTCCCGAGCAAATACAGCCAAATACCTGGCAGGGAGGGGACTGAAGAGCCAGAATTTCAGGGCTACTTGCTCAGTAAACCAGGAAATTTTACTCATGCAACGGGGGGAGACAGAAAATTTACTCTGCCCAAGGAGCAGCGCGGGGCTGCGGGCGGATTGGAGCGCAGGGAAGGCGGGGAAGCGCCTGGGAAGCGCGCGGAGCTTTAACCCACGGAGCACCAGAGCCGGCCGCAGCTGCGTGAGCAGGACGGTGAGCCCGGAAGGGGCTGCTCGCTCCTGCACAGACCAGCACGACCCTCGGCACG